GGGCAAAACGCCCTATGTCCTGGGACTAGACGTAAGAGAAGAAAGTATATGGGAGATGGAGGAAACAAGACCAAAAGGTGAATTTGTATGGACTTGTGTAGAGCCTTGTGGGCAAAGAAAAAAAGCTAAGTGCCATGGCAGAGAAAGAAAATATTTTTTGCAGTGGTATTTTGGAGGAATATGAATCAAAGAGGCCAGAAAGAGGAGTTAGCAGTAAAAAGGACAAGCACTCCAGCTGTTGCAAGAAAAGCAAAGGGCTGCTCACATTTGTATGCTCTACTTGTGTAAACTGAGAGTAGTATCGGTTCTCTGTTTTACAAAACCCTGTTTTCAGAAATAAGTTTGTCAGCCAAAGTAAAGAGAAAAAGATCAATGGATTGCAATAAATGGCATTTAACATAAAAATGAGTAAAATTTACAATTCAGTTAACTTGTTAAATGTTAAAAAATCAGCAAACAATAGACACAATTTGTTTTGTTCAGAGCCCAGAGGTAGAGACCAAATCCTCTAAATTAATTTCTGCAAAAGCTGGGGTTTTTTTCCAAACAGGTCTGGATCCTATTCGTTGTAGAATATACTGATTACCAACTATTTTTAAGAGCTTTACACAAACATTATTTCTTTTGTTGTGTGAAATGCAGAATCAGCCATCTGGCAAATGCCCCAGAGCTAAAATCTTTTACATGACATATAATTCAAAATGATTAAATATACAACAGAAAATAGCTATAGCATTGCACTTAAAATAGCATGAACTTTTACTGCCGATCAAAACTGATTTCTTTAGCTTAACAAGTATCCAAAGAACAATTATTTGAAGAGCTTTTAAGAGTTTCAATATGTAGGAACTAAACCTCATCTAAATTCAGTATCTTAAGTCAAATAAAAAAGAAACAAATGTACAAAAGATTAAATGGTCCTGCGTTATAAGTAGACATTTAAATCTATGGGAAGCTAAATTCATTCGAACAAAAATACTATATTCCCTCTGTATGTGTATTGCTGGGGCTTTCCTCTCCATTGCTAAGGGCATCTGCCAAAACAACTCTTACATTCTTAGGCAATGACTAGGGACTAGCCTGGAATCAGACTGTTCATCCACTCCCTCCATCATCAGAATGGGCAATTTCAAAGAAGAACAGGGAATAAAGCTCTGTGCATGATCCCTAAGTGCAGTCAATCTTTTTTTTTTCTGCACCACGGTCGACTTTAAGTTAAACTTGCTGTCTTTTTTCCAGAAATACTCCAGGCCTGAAAAATTGCCAGGTCCTCATCCCACACCCAGTTCTCCAGTAGTTTATGAGAAAGAGCATGCAAACATCTGCATGTATTTGGGGTACATGAGGGTAGGTACAGAAATAATACCCTGCGTAATTATTGAGTGGTTATGGCTCTGTTTCTCAAGTACATTTTTCAGACAAGTCAAAGTCTACATTTCCCAAAAGGCGCTTGGTGCAAGTCAGATCTGAGTTGTAAGACAAAAAAGTCTAAATGTAGGATATTTGTCTCATGGATTTGCATACTTGGATAAACCCGAAATGGATGAATACATCGCTGCTGACTTTCCAAAAAATTTTGCTTCTAAATTCTTTCAGACCAAGCATGAGAACCTTCATCCCAAGGTAACAATGTGAGGAAACTGTAAGTCTGTGATTACTAAGGCTTAGAATTAAAATGGCTTTGCACCCTTGCCTGTGGAGTTGGGTCAGCCTCACAACCAAGGAACCTCAGACAGACTAACCCCAGACTTTTCTAAACTGTAATAAAATAATGTTCTTGAATCTTGACCTTTTCAGCTCATAATGATTCCTGAAGCAGCAGGCTTTTTCCTGATGCTTTTTACAAGACTTTCAGGCTTGTAGAAATCCTAAGCTGATTGCTGGCTTGTTTGGGATTGCAGCAACACCAAAACCTCTCCTCTTAATAAGACACTTGTCCTGGTTTTCTGGGCCTAATCCTGCTCTTAATAACATGCATGTTAATTCAGTTACCTGACTGAGCTTTTAGTGTAAAGGTGGGCTTCCTGTCTTCCTGCTCTTGATGTTATATGAAGAGATGCATATATTTCAGGTAATATTGACTGCAGTATAGAAAGCTACCCTATGCACCATACACATACTAATTAAATCTCAAGATGGAATATGAAAGTTGTAGCACAAATATTCTCATATTACAAAGAGCAAAAGCACGTTTTATATTATTCAACCCATCCTCGGGAGAACCACAGGAGAAACAGGGCAATTTTCATCAGAAGTATCTTTGCTTTTCATCAAAAGAGAGGTGACCCAGGCAATCTCCTATAATCTTTTCTATCTCAGTATAACAAAATTTCTATTTTTGACTGTATTTTCTCTTTGATAGCTCTGGGCTTCTCCAATATTTGGGGGCCCTAAAACCTGAATGTCACAGCTCTTCTTGTACCTCCCTGCTTTGCATTAAACATAACATCATGTATTTTCTACTTTTCACTGAAAAATTGGGACATCTTCCCATCTTTCTATTGACCAAGCTCTGTTACAAAGGTGCCAGGAGTCCTATTGCTGGAAAAAAAAAAAAAGTAGTGCTCCTAGTGAAACAGGAGTCTAGTCCCAGTATCTATTCAAAATAAACAATGTATCTTCTTACAAATGAGCATTACCATTCTTATTTATGCGTCCAATTTTGTGTACTTCGCAATACTGGAAAAAAGAAAAGATTGAAGCACACATGGAGAATCAAGAGAAATTTGAGCATCCCCGAGGAAACAGAGGTTTAGGGACGGAGTAAGAACTGCAAGATTGTAATGAGAATTTGGAAAACTTTGCTAGATAAAAACATATAACAAAACTGTTGCTGTCATTTTATTCCCTGGGCCTGATTATGTTTTCATGATGGGCCTTTGCACTGCTTTAACAGTAAGAGCTCTCTAAGTAAATGAGTATCAGACCTCCACGCTAGTGAAATGCAAGACTTGCCAAATTTAACAGGACTCTCTACAGTACTCCACATCCACTTGTCTTGACAAAGAAGTGGTGGAAGCAAACTCAGTAGTTTCAAATGGCGTCTATTTTCTTCTCTTCTGGAATGGTACCTGGATGCTGCCAGGTTGGAGGCAAGTCGGTGCCAAGGCCGTATGCTTCCTTGCCCTCTTTCACAAACAGCTGAGAAACAATCAGAAATTGCTTCATAATAGGGCCAGGGTGAAAGGTGAGAACTGGAGTATTCTGAAAGCCTGCTGCCAGACCTGAGGAAGATAGTGTCATTTTGGTAAACCTGTCAAGCTGTTGTAAGAACTTCCTGAATGCTTCCTACCATCTGCTTTTGATGCTTTCAAGACTTGGCTGGAAGCCTGGAGGTTTTCCTGCTCCTTCCTGCCCAACCTATAATGGAGTAATTCTGGATCTGTTCCCTGTCATCCCAGCCTCTTCCTCAGTTTCTTCTGCTTACAGCTGGGTTTTTTTTTAATTTTTTTTTTCTTTACTGCAGTGGCCTTGTGCCCTGAATCATCTCTCCTGGGGCGGTAAGAGTTCCTCTGATGTTGAACAAGTGCCTGGTTTTTCAATTGTGTTCATGTTCTTGAGAGGAAGGGTCTGGCCTACATGACACATTCCTTCTTCACACTCACATCAACAAGTTTAACTTTGTGTACACGGCTCTCAATGGAACAGCCACACAAAGCACATCTCCAACAACTCCGTCAGACTGCACGCTGTGCTGGTCTGGTTAGCGAATATTGATTGATATAATTTGTAGGATTTGAGATAAATGTCATAAAGGACAATGAGTTCAAAGAACAGATTAAAAAACAATAAATTGAATTCCAAGGCGTTCCCTCCTGTACTAATCTGTGTAGGTTCCTGTGTTTTTGGAAAGCATGTTGCTTATCTTCCTCATCAGTAGGCCCACTGCATTCCAGTATTTTGGATCAATGCCATTTGTAATAATCTAGATCAGTTTTTATTCAACGTTTATAAAACAGGCCATGTATCATAGGGTATATTTTATAGCAGATGGTATCTCCAATTCATTTAACCCCCCCCCTCACTTCCCTCCTCCAATATCACAGTGCATGCTTGTAAAAGCTCTTGAAAGTAGGGCTGAGCAGAATTTTTTTCAACAAATAGTAAATTTGCTGAAAAATGGAGTTTCCAAGCAACAAAACTGTTAAACTGTGGCACACTGAAAATGAAATGTTCCGTCTTCTAGAAAAAACAGGTCTTGCAATTTGGACATTTGGGGGGGGAGGGGGAAATGGGGTGGGTGGTTGCTTTCAGAACTCATTTTCACTTAAAAAAAATCTGCACTAAAAAGGTGATAAACACAAAGGTTAAATAGCCAGAACACAAAGTGTTTGTTTCAGGTGAGATCACATTTTTTGAGTTATCCCCAAGTCAACTGTTTGGGGATCTTCTGTGCGTCTTTAATTTGAAAAGTTTCTCTTTTGGCTTGATGAGAACTAATTTTCCCTAAGGCTTATTAATTTGGGGACTTTTCCACAACACCCAGTATTTGCCACACTCTACTCAAAACACAGCTCTCCAAGGTGACAAGAAAGTTTCCTGTTCAGCAAGGTATGTAAACATAGCCCTAAGACTCATTTCAATAAAACAGACTATTCTAACATGTAGAGATAAGCACTTGCTTAAGCACTTTGCTGGTTCACAACACAGGGTTTATTAGCTCTCAGGATCAATGATGTACACCTTACATCCACTCCCTTACTTGAGATCCTTATGGAAGAGACCGAAGATTTTCCTGAGATTAACATACCAAGCAGTAATAAAATATATTTATTCATATCTGCTTGGGAATACTTCACTGTAATTTTGCAAAATATGATTTATACAACTCTGGGGATACATAAGTTGCTGATATAAATAAGTAAGTAAAAAATATTTTAGTTCAATGATAACAGAACCAAATCATGGACTTTTTTTATGTTTTAGCTTTAATCACGCATCCTAGAAGATATGACAAATAAACTCATCTTAGTTTACCTTGCAGAAGAAGTTAATCATACCTGCGTTTCTCAGAAACCTGAGTTTGTAGTCAACAATAACTCTGGTTTCAGGATTATAGAATCCATCACCACAGTCGTAACAACCTTCTGGGATTTTTTTGGGAGGATCCAGATTTGTAAGCTGAGAAGTGCCTGAAGAAAAAAAACCAAACAGTTTACTTTATTTTGCCTTTTTTATTTTTTTGCATGTTTGCCTTTGATCAAGATAACTAACAAATATTACATCTCCATGGCATTTGCTATAAAAACAATGCAGTTACCTTACAATAAATTTTATAAAACCTTTTGCCGATTTTGCAGATGGAGAAAATGAAAATGGAAAAATCCATACACAAAAAGCGGTGATAAAAAGATATCACTTTGATTTCCTCATTCACAGTCCTGTGATTCAGCCCACTAAGCTAACATTACAAATATGACCCCAAACTCCAAAATGGGGCCAGGAGAGTCTTGCTGGCCTCACAGAAAATACGTGTCATCACTAAAATATTCTATGTATAAAGAAGAGTATTTTATGTATTATGTTACATATTTTACTCACTTGTTCCTTATAAATCTTTTCACCTTTTGACTACAGACAAATAATAATATTATAAATGTCTTTAGCAAAAATATAGATTGGACACAAATGTTTATTTTGGTATCTACTAAAACCGCTATGTGGGACAGATGCATTCAAACTTTATTTGATGCCCTGGATGTAAACTAATTGCTTTCACTCAACTTCCCTATATTAAAAGCAAACTGCTAATGCAGTGAAGGTGAAATGTATAAAAGGGTTAATCTGGATATCAAAAGCTGCAGATAACAAAGCCCCGTCCTGCAGGTCATCACTCCAAAAGAGACCATGCTGTGGCTGAAATGCTGCATCCTGCGCTGTGCTGGTGGAAGGTGGTGTCAGCATTCTTCTGGCAGCATCGTATGGTCGGGTCCTGAAATTAGCCAGAGCATTTCTGCTCCATGTTACTCATGTAGCCAAATTAATCTTTCTTAAGCAAAGTTGTTAGTTTAATTCCTTCCAGACTCTTAGGATCGCAAACGCAATTCAGTACCTGGTGGTTTAAGACCAGAACAGATTTCTGTATAAAATCTTCTGTCGTAGCCATCACAGTAATGCCATTTTTTATCTTTGTATTGGAGACCATCTGCAAAAGTGTATTTCCCCTGCAAAACATGTTCAAGCCCAGAGTTAATAAACATGATGGATGGATCGAGTACGAACAAGGCCAGCGCTCCCGCTGCCAAGACGGCGCGTTAGCCGAGCAGAGCGAGCGCACGGTTCAGCTGGGGCTCAAATGGCGTCGGGAACCACCGCCTCTGCGGGATGCCCGGCCACGGGCAGGCCCTCCCTCACACGTTTGGGTGCGAGACGCCACCGAGGGGGGGTAAAAATTGGCTTGGCTCGGAAATCCACTTATTTCACCTCAGAACCCGCCCTGCAGCGTGGCCTCCAGGCGGGCAGCCGAGGCCCCTCGGGGTGAGGCCCCCCCCGCCCGGGGTACCTGCAGGGGCACCCCGCGGTGCCAGACCGCCCGGTATCTGCCGCCGTTGGGGAAGATCAGCTCTCCCTCTCCCTCAAACATCCCGTCCCGCAGCGCTCCCCGGTACTCGGTGCCCGTCGGCAGCGTGTAGGAGCCCTGTCCCTCCATCCTGGAAGAGACGGGGCGGTTGAGGGGGAGGTGGGAGAACCGGCGGGCAGCCCCTCCGCGTCCCCCCGCGCCCCGCCGGGCCCACCT